TGCAGGACACACGCAGAAATGTAATATTAAAGGAACACTCCACTATTTTTTGAAAATAGGCGGTAGCACTTTTAGCTGTAGCTTAGCATAGATCATTGAATCGGATTAGACCGTTAGCATCTCGCTCAAAAATGACCAAAGAGTTTCTATATTTTTCCTATTTAAAACTTGACTCTTTTGTAGTTACATCGTGTACTAAGACCGAGGGAAAATCAGATTCAATGATCTATGCTAAGCTACAGCTAAAAGTGCTACCGCCAGACCCGGAGATCGGCTGAATGGATTCGAAAACGATAAAACTCAACTGTTTAACTCTAGGAGAGTTGGAAAATGAGCCTATTTTCAAAAATAGTGCAGTGTTCCTTTAAGGATTAGGGAGTGTGCAATAACAGTATAGATGCTTTACTTGGCAAACACAACTAATAAAGCAGTTATGGAATAGCAAAAAAAGGCTAGACACTTATACAAAAATGCCAGTCAAATTTTTAAGGATAGACATCAAATTTCTAAGGAAAGTTACATAATAGAGCAATCGACATAAGAATACTTTGCCAATGATGTAATCTATGTGCTGGATTTATACAGATTATGTAATTAGCTGAGAAAATTGTCATAATTTTAAATATATACGTCAGAGTTCTTAATCGCATGTCCTGACACACTTTCAAACCATAAAATACATGAACTACACCCAGTTCAGCTTTGGGAATGGGCCAAATTTCCACATCCTGAATGAGGCTTTAATATACGATTAAACTGACCCAAATTCAACAGCAGAAAAGTCCCTTTCTACAGAGAATAATAGACAAGCCTATATGCAAATGCGGTACCAAACCTTCAATAAGCCCACCCCCTGAGTTCCCAGGCCTTGCTTCCCGAGGCCCTGAGAGCACAAAAGTGGTCCATGCAGCCAAGGCCTTTTCATCGGTTACTGACATAGACTTGGTAGAGAATGCAGCACACCACAGCTATTTCACCTGATCATAGCTGCAAGGAGCTGGATGATCTGGTATTAAAACTAAAGTTGACAAACTGACGGAGTAAAGCCTCGTTCCAATTATTAATATTTGCAAGAACAATACAGGACTCAAGGCAACCAGACAAGTCTGATTAAACCAAAATGTATTTGCATACACAAAGTAAAGCTACAGTGTGCAAGTAGTGAATGTCCAACACATTTGAAATCGTCATCGGCAGTGACCAATGAGCTTCTACTCACACCGAGGAACTAACAAGCCACAGTCATATTCAAATATGATTCAAACCTCTTATTTCACATATTACAAATGTAGATCGTTATCCTACACCAGTACACAGCTAATGTATTTTCAAATATTTTTGTTAATTTTTGGAAATCCCTACAGTTAAGTGAATGGAATTCACTGTTGTAATTAGGCATGGGCCGATTACGGGTTTCAAGGTATACCGCGATTTTGAAAATTTCACGGTTTCAAAACCGCTAATATTTCCCGTTATACCGCTCCTGCGGTATGCGCTGTTTTTCATGTCTCCTCAAAGACTGAAAGTGTAGGAATCCCTCCGGTTGAGTGCAGTGTAGAGAGTAGCTCTAGCAGCAAATCAACCATCCACATCAAAAGCTGCAGTACAGCCCACATTTCAGAAACAAATCAAATAAAAAATAAACAAATACTACTGTTCCAAATATTCTGTATGTTGCTCAAAATATATTGTGTTCAGTTTTTTTTTTAGACACATTTTAGAGCTGTAACAACAATACCGTGACACCATGAAACCGTGATATTTTTGCTTAAGGTTATCATACCGTCAAAATCTCATACCGGCCCATGCCTAGTTGTAATTACTGTGGATAGCTGTACAGGCATTTGTTGTTAAAGCAAATCCTTTTCTGTGAATTTTGCACACTCTCACCAAACTTACTTACTCCCAGAATGGACGTTTGGGGGCAGAGCATGGAAAAGAAACAGAAGCCATTCACATTATTAGAAGTCAATGTATCATCTACAGTGTTTCCTACAGACTTACACTCTATGTGTGGCAGCACATACCCGGGGGGGAAATAAATATACTATATACTATATATATTGATATTGTGGCAACCCACCACAAATAAATCAATGTATGGGAAACACTGATATAGGGATGTCACGAGAACCAATACTATGGTACAGAGTCGGTATAAACATTTTAAAATCCTGCCGGTACTTGTTTTTCTTCAATAGCGTAAGTACCGATGGTACTGAAGGTAGCCACTAGCGAGGCTGCAATTCTTCTGGAACTGACAGATGGAGGCGGAGCATACTCCTAGAAGTGTTTCAGTCAGTCCTCAAAAGGTAAAGAAAAAGAAAAAATGCCTACAAGCACACAGAAGAACTAAACGTGGAAGATGGTGATGATATATAAATAGGATTGTGTGAGATTTAAATGAGAGCGCGCAGTTCTGAAAGCATGAGCACTGCGCATGATCACACACACACACAAAGTTACGGTCTGTCTGACAGCTTACAGCTTGTTCATTCATTGTGTATCCGTCTGCAGATTATCCTTATTAACATTATTGGCTAATATTACTGGTTTAAATAAATTTTGTTTATGTTAATGGTTTTAAAATATATATATTTTCGGCCTGCCAGTATGTCAGTAAATTTAAACAAATGCTTGCATTCAGAGTATGTGTGTGTGTGTGTGTGTGTGAGAGAGAGTGCATGCGTGTTTGTGTGTATTATTTGAAGGCCAAGTGCCACTAATATTTTGTTTTTGTAATGTTAAATAAAGGAGTTACTGTTTAAGTATTATTGTTATTTTTTACCTTTGGTATCGACTTGGTATTGAGTATCGTGTACTTTTAGTGGTATCGGTACCGACTGCTAGATTTTTGGTATCGTGACATACGTAGTATCATCAGAATGATTCGCTGGTACAGCCCAAAAATTACGTTTTTTTTAATGCTATTTGAGCATAAGAAACAACATTTATGCATCAGTTCCTGTCAGATTTTGTTGCTGATTTTAAGTATGTGGTGAGCCTTTCATTATGTTCTTGTTTTTTCTCAGGATTTCCTCATTCAAGTAGACAGCACTTGGTCTTGCATGCCTGAAATAACTGCCCAGAGGCATTGCAAATATGGCCGCCGAGTGAACAGACTTTCCTTGATAGAGACTCAATTCAATAATTTCTGTACCTGAATACTAAACCTAAATGAAAAAATTTAAAAGCACTCTTTATTTAATTTGTATTTTTGTCATATTGTTTGCACTATGCTTCTGTGTTCTCGTTTTTAATAACAAAAACAAATGGATGATGGCATTGTCTATCGGCCCAACCCTATTACATAGGCCTAATCAAATAAAAAATTAAAAAAGCATTTATTTATTCATTTACTTGTAGATTATATTACATTTTAAAATGTTCATAATCAGATTAAAATTACATCTCAATATGGCACACAATAATCCCAAATTGGGAACGAGTTAGGTCTAAAGTAATCAAAAATTAGTCCAAATACATTGCTTAAAATGAATAATCCAATAGATTATGTTACCAGCTACGATTTTCATTGTGTAAATTGTAATCAGTAACGGACTACTATTTGCAAGCAATCCACCCAGCACTAAGTGCTAGTTACTAGTAATATGGTGAAATTAGTAGCCTATCTGTATCCTTAAATGCAATAATGAGAGCTTTGAGATTCACTCACATATCTGATGAGTTAGCAGTTTTAATCATTTATTTGCTGCTTTGACAACACTGTTGATTTTAGCAGGTCGACTTATGCACCTTCCGGAAGAACAGCTTTTAATAACACCTTAGTTAGATAACATCACAAATTTTCTACAGAAGTCTGAAAATTACCACCACAAAATCAATTAAAAATGGTTCATTCCTTTTGGGATTAAAAAACAAGTTTTCCACTGATTGTCACTCAAAATATCTGTGTAATCTGATGGAGTACTTTTTGCATGCAACATTTAAGTACATATTTCACTATATTGCTACTAACAAATGATTTCTGGTCTTTTTTCGAGAGCTCTAAAAATAACAAAAGATAGTTTGCCTATGTGCTGCCTTTGAGTTCACAGTGAACTGCTCAATACAACCTGGCAGAAGCGCAGAGTGCACATGCAACCAGCAAAGATGGCAGACTTTCTAATCGTGTACTTCACTAGGTATCTGCGCCAGTTAGTAAATGTCACTGGGATTCACAGGGATGCTAATGGACAGCTTTCTCCAAATGTTATATAGACCTTGATATGGAGTTGGCACCAGATCGTGGACAGGAATTTTATAAGACAGCATTCATACTGTTATGCAACATGCCCTATCGTGCCCATGCTCAAGATATCTCCAGCTTTGCTCAGAAATATTCATACATAACCAAACAAATACTTAAGACTTACAAGATAACTACTGCACATGGTGACTTATCTATTTAATGAAACCCATCAAAGTTAATCAAGTCAGAAAACTGAGCAATGGTCACCTTTAGATTATCTATGCATATACTGGCAATTACCAAATCAACTAAAATATGAAACCAATTATTACACGCTGCTTGTCATAAACCTGGTGTTAGAGGCAGAGATCAGTAGACACGACTTTAATCTTGGCTTTTCCTCAAATTTATGAATTCGCGTGGAGCATTGTCAAAAATGGCGACCAGTGGTGGACACGAGGAAATAAAATAACTCCAAAACCTCAAACGTATACGATGCGCTATGCAAAACGTTTAAACAACGTTTGCTCCAAACTATTTTCGGGGGGAAAACGAATTACTAGTCATATTTCGGAGTCCAAATGCTTTTGGCCTACTGATGTTCTAGTTTAATGCGATATAAAACTTGCTGCATTTAATTGTTACACCAAAACAAAGCTTCCTGAAAAATCAGCCTGTTCCAGTATAAAGCATTAAATATTTAATGTTACAGCACTGCGGTTTTAAAATGACCTATCATTTATTAATCGCAATGCCCTTTCACGTGCTCCCCTGTTTGACAGATGATGCTGCGGATCGCTCAATTTACCTGCATGGAATCGGCGCTTATAATTTCCCCATTAAGCCTTTTCCCGATCTCGATAGCCAGTTTGGATTTGCCCGTTCCCGTAGCTCCTAAAATCACCACTATAGACGGGCTGATGCCTTTCTGGAGCACACGCGTGGCGGCCGCCATGACAGCAACCTCTCAGGGCTGTAGAATGATCTGAGCATGCGCGGTGATTTCGCAACGGAGGCGGGAACTGTATCCAAGCAACTAAAACTGTTTCCATAGGAACGGGATTGAAGGATTAAATTTGAGCAGGTACGGGAGGCTAAAAGGGTGTTTCATTCAGAAATAGGACAAAAGTTCAACAATCGAACAAAAAGTGCTTGGAAAACAGGAATTGTAATATATATGGACAATAAAAATGGCACTGCTTGTTGCAAACATGGAAGAATCTAGTAAATATGTTTAAATCCTGTTAGCTCTAATAACATTGTGCTAGCAGTGCTGGGTAGTATCTGATTACATGTATAATGTAATCAGATTCCAAAAATGAATTTATTTATTCATTCATTCATTCGTTTAGATTATATTACATTTTAAAATATTCATAATCAGGTTACAGTTACTTTTTATGGATTGCATGATTACATGTTATTCACACAATGGCAGTAAATCATTCATAGTTTATTGATTGACCCCTGATTCTCTTTTTTCTCCTTTAAAATTTCCTCTCTAAAAATCATACCATTTAGCTTTCACTATATTCACAATATAAAATGGTTGTGTACATATCATGTAAATACATTTGCAAACCATGCGTCTAAATTTGGTTGAAAAAAGCAAACTCCTTTGACATGACATATTTATTTCAATAATTTAACAAAACATTTTCATGTTGACAGTTCGATGTGCTAAATGGTCGCATTGAATGCAGGTAAACAAATTAAATATTTCTATTTTATGTGTTCGAATGTTTAATTTATTTGACATTTTTATGACTTAATTAATTATTAGCTTTTTATCAACTCACAAAACCACTGCAGTTTTTCAATTAAGCCCAGTTTGGGAAATCCTGGTTTAATGAATTTGATAATGTTGATATAAAAAAAGGGTTATATTTGCTTTTTTATATCAATATGGTATGTTTAGTTGTAAGTTTAAAACAAGTTAGATCAAAAAAGTAATTTAAAAAGTAGTCAGAATACCTTACCTAAACTAACTATATTTTTCATAATGTAATCTGTAATCAGTAATGGACTACAATTTGTAAGTAATCTACACAGCTCTGTTGGCACAGTTTTTAATACATTTTTTGCTTTTACAACACTGTTGACTTTAGCAGGTCGACTTGTGCACCTTCCGGAAGAGCACGGGTATGAATAGCTCTCTTCCGTCTCCATGGCAACTGAGCGTTCTGCGCCAAGGAAAAGAGAGATGATCGTTGCCATGGCAAAGAAGGCCACTACGACGTGTCAACTAAAAGTGGCTCTCGCTAATGAAACGTTCTAATCGAGTTCACACACACTCGTACAGGTGTTGATGGAGTGAAATAGCTCTTATGCCACGCATAGTAAAACCTTGCCCTATTTTCTGGCATAACTGAGCCAGGATAATACTGTTTAAACAGTTATGGTGCATTTCATAACCAGCCATTGCCCCTCTAATCCAGATATTACTTAAGAACTGTCAAAAATCTTAAAGGGACAGTTCACCCAAATGCGATGTCATTATTTTCTAACAGCAGATCAATAAACTACGGGACAGCATGACCTCGTAGCTGAATTAAAATAACAAAAATGTAAAACTGCAGCGCTGAAGGAAAGTGGAGTAGATTGTATGTTGTTTTTTTTTACATTTTAGATGTATTATTATTTGTTGTGTGTTGAATTTAAGTTTTTAAAAAGACGCTGCAGAGCTTGACAGTGTATGAAGAAAATTCGCACTATTCACTTTCATTGCATCTTTTTTTATACAAAGAAGTTGAATGGTGACTGAAGCATCTCCTGTTATGTTCCACAGAAGTCAATCATACTTGTTTGGAACAACATGAGGGTGAGTAAATGATGACAGAATATTTATTTACTTAAAATAATTCTCTTTTGTTCTGTTAAAACATAAATTTTTTATGGCTTCAGGTGTACGTGTAAATAAATGCCAATTAACAAAGAAAGACAAGCATGCTGACATGATTTGAAATGAATTTATTTTATTGTTTACCCAATTTTGAGTTTATGTATATAGGCTTATGAGGTACAGAACACAAAGTGCTTCGACAATGCTGCTGCCATTCTCCTCCCGTTATGACACCTGACGACAAGGGACAAAAGTGAAAAAAACAACAACGGGTTACTGATGGCATATGCATATTTTACCCTTTTGGCCAATTTCAAAGCTGAATGTACAAACAAAAGTCACCTCAATCAATCAGTGGTGATTGCTGTGAGCACATGGCCTTTATTTATATATATATATTTTTTTTTTTTTACAAATAATTGCATTACAAATGACCATGTTGATAAACTTTAAATTACCAGTCATATTTGGAGATAAGTAAGCATACGCCACCAGTACAACTTTATATTTAAATAGAAATCAAACAATGATACAATTAATTCTGTAAGAAAATATAATTAGTACAAAATTCTTTCAACAATTGTTTTTTCTGCCACAAAAGCAATAAGCCAAAGAAATTTCCGAACACAAGGAAATAGGCATTGAAAACAGCATAAAGTGGCTAGTGATGAAAATGAAATGTTGATAGTGTTGTTTTATTTAACTTTTTGATTTTTTTTTTACTTTTCTTAACAAAAATAGAAAATTTGAGATACTCTAGGGAAGGCAGGTGGGCCAACCAAGTTTTAGGACAAATGACAGAAAAATAGAAAATAAAGTCTATTAACAGTGCTGATTACATATTCAAAACACAAAGCATGTATATTTACACAATGTCCTGTACACCACTACAGGATGGGGTGGGGACTGAGGGGGAAGGTAAGGGGGTTTTTCTTTCTGGGGTTTGGGGTGTGGAACCCAATCGTGGCTGCAAGGTCTCTTGCCTGATCTTCTTGCGAGGCGGCTCCTCTTCAGGATAGCTGTCAGGAGAGCGGGCAGCATAGTTGTGCTGCTGCTGGTGAATGGAGATGTGGAAACGCTTCATGCAAGGGTCATAGGGGTCTGCACGAACCGTGATGGTCACCGGTTTACGGGCGTTCACCAAACGTGACTTGTTCTGCTTATGTTCCACCGTCACAACATCAATCTCTTCATCATCTGGAAGAAGAACAGAAAGAAATGTAGATTGACTAGACATATCTTGTGTAACGCCACCTCCTACCAAGTCCAACACCATTCCATTCACCCATCCTAGCATGTTAGAAACTCCATTCAGAATGTAAGATCTAATTAGATGGGTCCTAAAACTACAAGATGCATCTTAGGTTTCTATTAGTTCCCTATTCTCAGCAAGAGGAAAATAAATGAGGCTTTGAACAGCAATAATCAACTCTGAGTCACCTCTGATGTGCATTTTGATAAGAGAAGCATCTGATCCGAGTACCCTCTACTCTGTACCTATGCACAATTTGTCACAAAACCAGAAAAAATCAATGAAAAGTCAATGGGGTCTACTGTTGCTTTGGACACCTTTGACTTTCATCAACATTCTAAAAAATATCTTCTGTATTCTGCATCTAACAGGTTTGGAATGTCATGAACAAATGATACAGAATTTTGAGTAAAAGTTGCAAGTGCCCTTACAATGCCAGTGGCAGCTTCAGATACTACCTGTTCATTCATGGACAATTGATTGGCCCTGAACACTTTAGGATTCAAGCATCCTTATTATTGGTTTCTGCTACTGGCACCACCCACAAGTAAAACAATTTCTCCTTTTGTTTCACTTGAGGAATGTGGAAGCTCAGCACACTATTACATTCCACACATATTAAGTAGAAATCTAGATGAAATGCCAACCTAAATCCCATGGCACCAATGCAACTTTTCTATTCAGGTATGCCAGGTTCTGGCTTAGTTCTACTTAACGCACAAATGAATGGTAACTACTGTATTGCACGATCCTAGACACTGAGATCCGTCAGGTGTCAAAAGGAGGCGTCAGCACAGGTTGCACTGCACGGTTAAGCAAATAAATGAGTTTTAGCGCTCCGTCGCGTTCAAAGTCAACGGGCTCGAGCTTACCAGAGGAGTCGGTGCGAGATTCTGACCCGGATGACACCTGTTTCTTGCAGCTGCTGCTCAGGGGGAAGGTAAGGACAGCTGCCGGATCCACGCAATCAGTCGCCAAGCTGTTGTCCGCAGGGACGCACTGCGCCTTGCTGGAGAGCTTCGACTGCGCCGAGCAGGACAAGCGCTCGCTAACAACTTTCTCCAGCTGCTGACTGGCGGAGAAACTGCTCTATATATATATATATATATATATATATCATTACAGTTTAATGTTTTTGTACCCTTGCAAGCATTTTAATAAATAAAATATAAATGTATCCTAAATAAAATAAATGATGAATTAATTATAAAAAAAATATGCATGCAAATGTATTAAAGACGCCTAACAGATAACGCGATACTATAGAGTATTTGGTCTGCATGCACTTCCACTATACAGTACAAAACTTGAAGTTTCGCAACATACTTATATTACATGACACAACATGCTTCATGTAAGTGCATATGCTACTACGAGTGAATACTGTCTCAAAGAATTGCTCTATTCGTCGTAAAATGCCTTACTTTCCCCCCCCAAAACGATTAAGAAATAAATTAGGCGCTCCTTGCTTAAACACTTACCGTAATACAGAGCCGGGAGACAGTGTGTTGCATGTCATTTGAGACGCGAAAATAAGTTGTTGCGGTTCACCGGTGAACTCCAGCTAAATGTTTTGCACAAAAAGCTTTCATGTCAACAAGTTAAGAAAAGCGTCGTCAGCTGTGTGTTGAATAATCCTGTCTTGTGTTGGGTTTCTCAAGTGTGGTTTTGTGTTATCCGGCTGTTGCTTATAAATTGAGTTTCGAGGATGTTTGCTAATTTGCAGTCCGCTTCTCTCTGCGTGCTTTATAGCGCCTGTGTGACCCCTTCTCAAGCCGCAGCTCGCGCTCACTATGGACACCTGAAACGAGTACCGCACAATATATTACCCAGCCAAAGTAGTGGGAGAATTTGCATAGAAGGCGGGTCGTAGTGCGCTGACCACGCCCACCGCTTAAAGCGACAGGGTCTGCTAGAGAGGTTCATTTGAGGTTTGAGTGTCTACATAAATTCGGATGATGATTGAGAGAAAATGTTTTGCTGTTTCAGAGTGGGAGACACTTTTAAGATGATATACTCTTTATCAGCTCAACAACCAATTGAAATACGCAAGAATTAAATATGAAAATGCATTTTATATGATACCATTGTCAGAAAGTAACTAGGGCTCATACAAACAAGCCACATAAATTGACATAAATGTTCCAGATATTTAAAATATCAGTTATTTAAAACGTAGATTACTGTTTTATAATATTCTGCTTATTATTTAATCAGCAAAAAACAGTATTTTTGAACATAAATATATCTATACAAGCATCTAAACATCTCTAAAACAAGATTAATTTATTTGATACTTCTGATATACGGTTTTTTGAGCGCACACATCCGAAGCACACGGACAGAAAGCGGCTGTCACAGCACATGAGTACTAAATTTAAGTTAAAAACACACGAGTTACAAAAACAGTCTGGTTATGTCTGTGAAGGTAAACAGCTGGGAAATAAATCGCTTGTTTATTTTAGATCTGTGTGGCAGCAGCAATATACATTAAATAAATCCACTGCTCTCTTGTCTTGTCTCCTCTGACTGAGGCTGGGACTGTAAATAGTGTTCTGTGCTCATCTGTGCAGCCAAAGACAGAACAGTTAGCATGTTTTGCTCAAACTTTCGCCATGGGAATTAGATAAATGGGAATTCGTTTTTGAGTTTTTGGTTGGAAAAATTGTTTTATAAAAAAAATGCCAAGAAAGCTAATTCCAGGGAGCAGATTTTGTCCAATAATAAAATATAATAATTACTTCTTACAATGCAAAATGTTAGCGAATTATTGTGCATTTTATCTGAGAAAAGTGAATCATTAGCCAAGATCTTGTTTTGTTTTTGTCTCACGCACAACAGCAAACCTATAATTTTGGATTTACATGCGCTGTATTCATGTTGAACTACACATTGTTGTATTATTATTGTGAGTGAAAGAGCAAGTCATATCCAGCCTATACATCTTGTCTGTGTTAATTTAGCTCAAGATGATAATTAGTGCCAGACAGCTTAATGAATTGCTGGCAGTGCACAAGCTGTACTTGTGACAATACTGTTTCTTATGGCTATACCACGTGTCCTCTTTTCCAACAATGTCCCATATGGCAAATCTGTGCATTAGGAAGTAAGTAATCGCTGACTAGTGTCTCAATTCAGTGTCTATCCTCTCCTTTCTTTTAAAACCTTGACCTTAGAACAAAGGCTCTTCCCACAGTGATTGATGAATCTCCCTGGAGAGATGTATCTTTCTTTCTCTGGCTTTATGGTCTTTTTATAAATTTGCTTTGCTTTTTTGACCCACCCTTATTATCCAATTATCCCATACAAAATGTTCAAGAGTTTGTAGGAAGCTGCTGAGTGAGTTTGATTGGTTTGCTTTGACCAGTGGTTTGCATTGATGAAGCCCCCTCAACTCAGTAATGAGGAAAAAAAATTAACTTAAATGATTTTAGCAAATGGCTGCAATATAACAAAGAGTGAAAAATTTAAGGGGGTCTGAATACTTTCCGTACCCACTGTATATATATATATATATAAACGGATGAACTGTAAGCAATGGAACTGGTGTTTGTGTGGCACAGGGGACAAAGATATGAAGAGGTGTGTGAGTGTGTGTGTAAACGAGGTTCTTGAACATTAGCATGCTGTTATCATATTGGTGCTAATTAAGAAGTCTGCCCTCAACGCTGAGCACAAAGTAGAAAATTAGAAATAAAAAAGTTTTTGTAACACAAATTTTTATAACACTTTTTTTTTTCTTCTGGCAGACATAAAATGCAATGTACACTGAATGAGAGACCCAGGCCATTTCTTGGTCTTTTGACTTGGGCCAGTAAGCAACAGTGATCCGTTTTACATGAACACGCACCAATATGCTTTCTGAAATAAATTTTCTGACAATTCATAGCTAAACAGGGTGGATCGTATGCTGTAAAAAAATGATATGATCAATAAATCATGGCAACATATGTTTTTCCATTACTTTACTCATCAGAATAATTTAACCAGTTAAGTTATACAAGATTCAGCAAGACAAGAATTTATTAAATGAGTTTAAATGTCTTGTACAGCCAGTTTGATTATACTTTCAAATTTAAAGCAGCAACTGTACCTTTGTTTTTAAGTTATTTGAGGTTCATTTTTATAGGCCTAGTGTAATTGCTCTCTCTTATAAGCTTTTTCTTTTTTTCTTACAGCTGCTGTAGTGTAAGATGTGATGACGTAAAGCAGAATCTACATCATCAACAGATGTCTCTGGTGTGAATGATGTGAGAATTGTTTCCATGACAGCGCTTTTGTTTTTTCAGGCTATGAATGTTTATTGGCATAAAAACTGAACCGAGAATTCAAATAACAAAATATGCTGTGGAGGGCAAACTGTGAGTAATGTGCTGGGTTAAATATGTTTAATATGTAACAAACGATGAGATAAATACACAAAACTGCAATCCTGTCTTCCAACATTCTCTGGATATCTAAACTCTGTTTGTTGCTCTATGCTTTACTGAAGTGCATCTATCAAAGGCTGGTATCATGAATTCCCAGTATAGCCTGACCTTTGAGTGAATAGGTTGACTGAGCAGGTTGAATACCACCTGATGTCTTTCTAATCAGATGAGGAAGGGAGCATCTATCCCTAAACGTCTAATGAAAGGTCAAGGTCTCGTGGTCTTCTTGACCACTATGCACAAAACAGGGTGGAGACCTGTCCCTTTGATCTATTCGCATCTTGCACGCTTTGCTCCACCCAGAAGCCTCTAATTAAATCTGAACAACTGGCAGCAACAGACAAGCCAAAAAAATATATATAATTTGCACTTGACAATAAAAATGTATAGACATATGATATGACTGTTTAGCATGTAAAAAAAAAAATCAAGACACAAAATACATAATATACAGAAATGTGAGGGACTTCTGGGGATAAATCTTTCAGCAGAAATGTTAAGGTTCATATAATTCATATAAAATTAAAAAATATAATTCATATTTTTTACTTACTAAAAACATAATTCTAACAATATGTAAGTATTGAAATATTTTTGAAATATTGTATATGTAAAATAAATATTATAAATATTGTAAAATTATTGTATCATTTAAAAAAGCTTATTTTTAAATATAATATCATTTTTCATTTGTATATGATAAGGTATACTATGTTTTCAAATAATTAAAGACACAAAAGACTCAATATACACAAATGTGAGGGGTAATCTTTCGACCTAAATTTTAAGTTAATTCATATTTTTTATTTGACCTTTTTAATAATCTGTAATAATTTTCAATATTTAAAATACATTTAATATGGTAAAATTATTATAAAAACAGAAGGTAATAGACGTTAATCATTTTATTAAGTATACTGTGTTTTCAAAAAATATACACACAAAAGACTCAACATGCACAAATATAAAGTGTAAACAAGGGGCTTTTGGGAATGCTTATTTCAACATCCATTTTTAGTTGATTTAGACTTTTTACTTATTTTTACTGAAAGTATTGTAAAATCAGGAAGTCTTTTTAAACATATTATCATTTTTCATTTTAGTTTTGCATTTTTACAGTCTTTTTCTATTAAACACTTTATTTAAAAAAAAAATACTGATTGAAGGAAACTTGTTTATAACTAGATATTATTGCATTAAAAGATGTCATTACATAGGCCTATGCCTAAATCCTTCGTCCAGGAGGGGCCCACGAGGGAGTGTGTGAATTAGAGCTTGTGGTGAAATAGATCTCCTGGTGACTCTTTGTTGTTTCCCATTGGTTGGATTTTAAAAGATGCACAAGCCAATCCCAGCCCATCCGTTGCCTGCTGTGTTCATATGCCAATGAGGTGCTCGTGGGTGGCTTGACATCACTTTGAAATGCATGTGAGATTGATGTCAGAGCACAAGTGAGAGCCAAGACCAAGCAGATTTCTCTGCTTGAAAGCAGATTCTGGTAGTAAACAGTTATATGTTTTAATATTCTTTATTTGTACAATATGTAAATTAAGTAGTTTTAATGAAAACGTTCTAGTCTTTATACATTCCACTGGAATTTTAAGTAGCCTGTAATAAAATTATAAATAAATGAAGCTATATTTTTCCTACCCCGCGTTTGTGATGAACAGCTCTTATAATTTAATAGGTGCTAGTTCACATTTGCATGATTCAGAGGGTGATACATGAAGATGAATGTGTGAGATACATAAGGAAAAGATTGTTAGATTGCGTAGGCTTTTGAATTGCTTAGCGCTTTACAGCAAATGCACAGATGTTTATGGACATGTGCTTGCATGATACTTGCAGAAGAAACATTAAAGGAATAGTTCACTCAAAAAAAGAACATTTGTTGAAAATATACTCACAACAAAGATGTAAATGAGTTTGTTTCTTCATCAGAACAGATTTGGAGAAATGTATCATTGCATCACTTGCTCACCAGTGGATCCTCTGCAGTGAATGGGTGCCGTCAGAATGAGAGTCCAAACAGCTGATAAAAACATCACAATAATCCAAACACAAAATCAGTTAACCTCTTGTGA